GGGAAGACAGGCGGGGGTAAGCTAGAGGATCAAGGCCTTTTCAAGCTGAAGAGGAGAGCGTGTGCCAAGTGGGGTGGTTGGGGTGGGGTCACTCTCCCTGGAAAACAAGCCATAAAGTGCGCAGCCTGGGCCTCCCACCCCCTGGTGTCCAGTTCTGGACATGACATAGGGAGCTGCCTTCTGAGGGGCACATGAACAGCAAAAACAATGCAATGGGACAGAACAGGAAGAAGACCCATTTCTGCACAGAGATCCTTCTAGAAAGAAAGAAAAGAAAAGTGAAAGGGGTCAAACGCTACACAGTGTTGACTTAGCTTTTCAAATCCTGTTATAAACAGGAGTCGAATTTCTAAGTCAGTGAAATCTAAGTGCCCCCACCCACAGAGGGATGGGGCTGTGGCCCCCACGGTATGAAGCAGCAGCAGTGTTTATTCAAGACACGATAGTGAGGGAATCTGGTCGTTTTCCCTTCTCTCCAGAAAGGGTGCATCTTGACGAGTGATCCAGTAGAAATCTTTCAAACTCTGATAAGTTAAGTTCATAAAAACCACTCCCTTCGCTTGGTCCCTGGCCAGGCCTGCATTCTGAACCATGCTGGCTTGGGGCGCCCTCTGGTGGTGATGTGGAAAACCACAGTCTGAAGCCAGCTGGGAGCTCACAGACCCACAGGCAGAGGGCCCAGAACTGCCCAGACCACTTGGCCTTTTGCCTTGGGTAGCTAGCTGTCTCCTGGCAGATGGTCCCGCCCTTGGGGGCGGCCCAATTCCTCCTCAAGAAGGTTTGGTTCCTGCTCTGTGGATGGCCCGTTTCATCATAAGTTTTCCAGGCCGTTCTGCCGGTCTCTTGGAGATGAAGTTGGGCCTTTAGACTTCGGTGGAGAATAGGATGCTCTGTCTCTTGCTGTCTGGGGCAGGAATGGCCTCCAGCTGCAGGAAATACAGCAGCACCTGGACCTGCCGGAGGAAGAGAGAGGATCAGAGGGGTGCTCACAGCTGCAGGTGGGAGGTCTTCCTGGCCAGAGCCCAGGGCCTGATGACTAAGGCCACCGGACAGCTCAGGGTGCTGCAGGCTCCTGCTGGTGACACGAGACCCTCATGGTGAGAGACTTGGGTACCCCTGAAGGACCACCAGGTGAGGTGAGCCCTGAGAAGCCCAGTAAGGTGCAGAGGAAGTGGCCTCCAAGGGTAAGTCCCTCTCTCTGAACCTCGGCCACTGTGCAGTTTGAGTGGGAACAAATGGCAGGACTCAGGGTCAGGCAGGCAGAAGCCACCTCTGTGAGGCTGGACAACATGGGCTGGAGCCTGTCTCCTCGTACCTGTGACATGACCTCCAGGGACCAGCTGTCAGTCATGGAGATGGGCTGGCTGGGGTTGGCAGGGAGCTTGCTCTCCTTCTCTGAGGGCCGGAGCAGCGTGGGGCCGAAGACTGTGGCGAGGTTGTGTAGGGACATCTTGTTCACCGTCTCCTTTTCTGCCACCCTGCGGAGGGCCGAAGTAGAAGGTGCTACTGGGACACCGCCTTGAGGCGGAGGGGCTGGGCCACTCTAAAGTCCTCAGGGAATGTGTTGGCGAGTGCTGCCCCTTTCTGCCTTGGGCTTGCTCCACAGCACAGCTAATCCACTCCTGGTTGTGCTAAAGGCAGACCCCGCCCCAGTTCAGTCAAGGACAAAAAGCACTTGGGGCCAGCAGGTGGCTGGGCCAGCTCTGGGCCATGACCTAGGGTGTGAGGGTGTCCGAAGCACTTTGCTCTTCACTTAAGGCCATAGTGCAGAGTGGGAGGGTGGTAATTGCTCTAGTGCCCAGAGGAGGTGAGTGACCCCAGACAGGGGTGAGGAAAGAAGTCCCCAGATGCCCTGGAGTCTGATGGGAGGAGCCTCCTCTTCCTGCCTGGGGGTCCTGGAGCCCTAGGCACCCCCAAGGAAGAGCTGGGGTTACCTTTTCAGGTGATCCAGAAGGAAGAGGAAGGTCAGCAGGTTGGCCTCTGGGAGCGACAGAAGCAAGTTAAGCATGCAGCTCTCTTTTGCAACAGGGTCTGAAAGAGCTGCAGGTGGGGGAGACTGTTACTTCTTGGGGTCACAGCTGGAAGCCTCTGCCAATGTCTGTGTCAGAGGGCACAGGACAGTCCAGGACCGTCATCGTTCTGGCTCATACAGCACTAGCCCCAGTGAGGACTCAATGACAGGTACCTGTGTGGGGATGAGCCCCCCTAAATACCTTTTCTCTATCTGAAAGGGGTCAAAGGCACTACCAAGGACCAGCGGCAGGAGGCACGGGACACAGTGGCCCTCCAAGCTCCCGCAGCCATTCCGGCCTCCTGCTCCTGGAAGAGCCCAAGGCATGGGAAGCCAGGCATGGAATGAAGCAAAAAGAGCAAAGGGCAGGAGGGCTGCGAGGCCCCAGGGGCTCCCTTATCACCTGTGCACAATGGGGGAACCAGGCCCCCTACTGAATAACCCTGGAGGCAGGGTGTGGAGGCTGTAGCTGCCTGGCATACCAGCGCCCCCACTCTGGACACTGCCCTCTGGGGTGACTTAGGGTCAGTCTGGGTTTGAAGGCAGGTGCACTGGTGGGCCAGGACCTGGGGATAGGGGAGCAGGACAGGTGCTCCAGTGAGGAAGATGGTGGCCTCCATGTCCCTATACCAAGCGTGCATCCGCTCAAACTACTTAGAGGGAGGGGGACAGAAGGAGGCCGCTGGAAGACGGGCAGAGGCCTTCCAGGACTGGTTTGGTTCTTGGTCCCCCCGCCACACACCGAGTTTGGGCCGAAACGCAGGCCATGGTGGAAGGGGACAGTGGACAGGATGGGAGTGGGAGACGCCTCCCGCGCTCACCGATGCCCTCAGCGAAGTTGGGGTAGAACTCATCGGTGAAGAGGGGCTCGGGCAGCTCTCGGAAGTAGAGCTTTAGGGTCCCTGCAATGGCATTGACGTCCATCTCGCTCATCATCACGGACACGTCCTTGTTATCTGGACAGAGCACAGAAGCAGACGTTAGCTACTCCCAGATCCTGAATTGAATTCCTTCCACTTCTCCTGCCTCAGCTAAGCACGGCTGCCCCAGGCTGATGCCTTTTGGGCTCCTCCCCTTACAACAGCTCAAATTACTCCTTCCAGGCAAACTCCCCATACATCCTCCCCACACCGTCCTCCCCACACCACCTGGCTGGGCAAGGGCAGCCCTGGGAAGGAGGGCAGGCCCGGCGCCTGGGGAGGAATCAGGTGGCTCTATCCCATAGCCAGCACCTCTTGATAACAGGAAGACACTGAATTATTTGTTCCATTTTAGTTTAAACTGGTGTCTTCCCTTCAGGCTCAAGTGGCCACTGGCCCTCTGTGCCACAGGCCAGGTCCACTCCGGTCACCCAGAGGGAGCTTGGAGTATGCAGGCACGAGGTCCTGGCTCTGCCACTTTCTACTCTGAGGGCCCTCTTGAGTCTCAGTGTCTGGCAATTGGGGTTGTTCCACCGACTTCTTGGCATGTGTGAGTGACGGAGGTAGAGGTACTGCAGCACTGGCTGGGCCCGGTCACTTCAAAGCCCTTTGCACTGCTTCACCACTGGTCAGACCGCACTGATCCCAGCTGGCACCTCTTTGCCAGGCCAGGAAGAGCAGATGGAGGCCCAGCAAAAAGGCAGGGCCGCCCCACAGGGAAGGCCCTGATCCATTGCAGCATAAACCTGGCACGGTTAAAGGAGTTAAGAACTGGCTTCTGTAGAACCTCCTCCCACAATTCCCTTTGCCTCTCATTTAAAATATGATAAAATACTAAGTGAAGAGAAAGTACGGAAAGCGATGGAACAGGCACCGGCCACAGAAGGCCCCCCGAGAGTCAGCACCTCGTCCACATCCCTATCCCGCACTTCCTGGGGCTGATACTCACTGACGTCAAAGGCCGCCTTCAGCGCCTGGATGTCTGTGGCCACTCCAGACACGCGGTAGATGCCCACTTCCTCCATGCCCCGGCGCTCGATCTCCTCCACGCACTGGCGCACGATGTAGGGCACCTTGGACCGCTCCCTCCTGTGGGGGAGGGGAAATGCCTTTAGTGCCCAGCGGCCCTGGCTTGAGCCGCGGCGGGGCACAGCCATCACCTACCTGCACACCTGGAGATGGGAGTGATGCAGGTGGTGGGTCTGGGCTGCACACACAGCCTCGTCTACTCTGAGAGCTCATGACTATCATTGCTTATATCTTATCAGGGACTTTCCAAGAGCTCCAGGTAGCCAGACACCTCAGGAGTTACGCATGATCTTGCGGGGAAGACCAGGAGGCCTTTCTAAGTGAACTAGGCCACAGGAAGTGCAGTTAAAAGGTCCCAGGCCTTGGGTTAACAGGTAGCTGCATAGCATCCTGGAAAGCGGTCTGGTTTCCTGGTAGGGAGATGGGATCCAGCCTCAGCCCAGTACCTGCCACCCACTTGTTGTGCAAGAGGCAAATCCCCGAGCCCTCCAGACCTTGGTGAGAGGTGAGTTCTGCACACAGAAGACACCCAACTGTCTGCTAAATGAATGACCACAGGGCTGCCTAACATTGGTGCTTGAATTATCATTCTAAATGCTTTTCTCTTCCAAGTCCTAACAATGGACAATCCCAGCACCTTGGCATAAGACCCTGGAATAAAAATACTTTAAAAATAGGAGAAGGTGCTGTTTGAAAGGCTGGCTTTAGTCTAGTTCAGACACTGGATTCAGAAGCCCAGCAAAGCTCTTTCCTGAGCCACCCTCATCGAGGTGCTTATTTGGGATAGTTGCTGACAGAAACCTCTCTGCTCACGCCCAGAGCCTTCCAGAGGTGCTGTGGGAACCGCTAGGGTAGAACTGGGGGTGAGGAGTGCTGTTTAGACACAGGAGTCTGGGAAATGCCTGACAAAGGCCCCAGCGCAGACGACCAGCGATGCCAGGAGCTGGGCCTGATTCCATTTGGGGAAGTGAATGGCTCCTGGGAGGATGCCCTGAGAACAGCCCTCAAGCCAACATACAGGCTTCTCCTGTATGTTGATAAAGGGGCAGGGTTGCCATCATTCAACGGGAACCCTGATCGTGACAAATTCCAAGTGTGGGGAAAACACCCTGTTCTCACACAGTTCCAGGAGCTGTGTACAGGAAGGGAACAAGAACGTTCCTGAGCTCATGGGGACAAGTTTTGCAGTGAACAAGGGAAGCAGCTAAGCACGGTGTCCCGTGGGCCCGGAAGGTGTCCTGTGCAGCGACTATGCTGTGTACGGAGGGAGGAGACCCACACCAGCTCCTTCCTCCAGAAACACCTTGGGGCGTGGGGGACAAGAGGCACGAGAGCCCAAGCCCCTCGACACTCACTTGGTGACCACAGCAATCTTGACTCCGAAGACACCCGTCTGCTTTCGGGAAGGCATTCTCTTCAAGCTGAACTCCCTGCTGGTGAATTTGACTGAGAGTTTCACTTCAATCTGCAAGCAGAGAAGGGAAACGGCCCTTTCACCCTCCTGGCCCACCTCCCACTCCTCGCCTCTCATAACCACCAATCTCCTCTCTGCATCTTTCTTAATCACAAAAAAATAGAGAAAAAGTACAGAGAATAATGTAGCAAAACGCCATGAATTATCTATCAAACGTTAACATTTTGTCATACATGCCCAGACCTTTTTTTTTTTTTTTTTCAAAGGACACTGAGGACTCATCGGGTCTCGGTTTCTATCAGCAGACTCCAGCGTTGAGGCCCTGCCTGTCCCCGTAGTGCCACTGGATCACTGTTTGGGAGGAATGCTCAGTGCTCGGCCTGTGACTGCACTCTGGTCACCACATGGGCTCCTTCCTGTGCAGTGATCTTTTCTGCAGGGCCTCTCCCTCCTCTAGCCATTCCGCCCTCTCCAACACTAGTCCAGGCTTAGCCTCCCTCCAACTGTTCCAGACAGAACCTGGGCCGCCTTAACCTTCTGGGGTAAGTGGGCACCAACAGAGCCCCGTGGTACATACCCCGTTCATGGCGATGACAGTCCGTTGCCAGTCTCTGTCCTGCAAGGCTTGGGGGTCCAGCTGAAAGCAAGGAGTCATGATTATCAGAGGCCCTGGGGTCTGTGCAGAGGCCTTGCAAAGCAGCAGCCCAGGCCTGCAGCTTCTTCACACCTAAGTTGGAACTGGAGCTGGACCTCGGCTGGCACTTCCATCTAGAGGCCAAGTGGGGTCCACAGAGAGGAGAGAACCGATGGAAACTCCGGAAACCTGGAGACCTTCTGCTCCCAGACCTTTGCTGTCTGGGGCCCAGGCTCACCCTGGGTATGAGTTGGCGGCACTTTGGGGCCCTGTACCCTCTTCCTCCTTCCATCTTGTCCAGATGGGAGCTGAAGTCCACGCTGGTAGTCCAGGAGCTGCCCCCCTCCCCAACCATCACAGGTGCTACCTACAGCTCAAGGCTCAGCAATCAGTTTAAGAACGTTTTGGGAGAACCCATTTCAGTAGCAACTTCCTGGGGGCAATGCCGCCCAAGAGTCCAAGACGCTATTCATCCCACAGTGTGCACTGCAGTCTTAGCTACGGGAGCACGTGCAGGAGAAGCCTCCAGCCCAGAAGGAGCCAGAGCCCAGCTCCAAATCACAAAGCTAGTGAAGGGGCTAAGGGAAGCCCCTCTAAACTTCTGCCTCTGCAAAGCATTGTCCGAGCGCTGGTCTGCAGGACCATGCTGTTTAATGTTACCTAATGGCTGTGCTACTGTAAGACACCCAACCTTCATGGTCAGGCCACGTGTCCCATCCATGAAGCCTCTATCTCCCTCATTCTGGGAACTGCATGCTCCCCATCAGCTGGGCTGGGTGAATAAACATACAGGGAGATCTTGTTAAAAAATACCTCCCTGGGTCCCATCCATGAAGCTGGACTAGCAGCTCAGGGTGGACCTGGGGTCGGAATAACTAAAAACCTCCCCAGACGATTCTGGTATGAAGCCAGGTCAGGGAGCCACCATCTGACACCCTATAACCTGCCACTCCTCACATGAGGCCTCGTGATGGCACCCTTGGCTTTAGGCGACGATTTGTTTCTACTATTAAGCAAGCGCTTAAGAGCAGGGAACATACCCCATGATTTCTGCATGTACACGTGCACACAAAAACGTGCGTGTGCACACACACACACACACACACACACACACAAACAGTACTGAGCCTAGTGCAGTCTAAAGCGGGGCTCAGGTCAGGCATCACATATTTATCCACTGCAAGGGACCCGAGAGGCCACAGCCATCTAGGCCTTGTACAGGTGAGGTGGCTAGAAAAGAAGGCCCAGCTGCCTCTACCTCACAGGTGTGTGTGCCTGGGCCTGTCCCATGCACTTGTTCCACACGAGGCTCATTCCAGGCACTCCTGCGGGGACGAGCCTCCTTACCCATTCTAGGTACTACTGGTGAACATTCTCAAGGATCTGAAAGGTACAGACAGAATAACCCAGAAGAACCGAGGGTGGCAGAACATTTCTCTCTGGGGGCTATGTGGTCAGAAGTTCTTGTCCCACATCCGTCCCATAAAGTTCTTAGGGGCCATGCTCCCTGGCCATGGACACCCTACCTTGAAGGGCAGGGTCTGTGAGCAGGGACCAGCCATCACAGATCACTCAGTAAAGGAGATCTCCCCAGTGGTGCTTTCCCATTAGAGTGAGTTCCTTTCTAGGGTGATGGCGTCCCCCAGGGGAGGCAGGAGGGGAATGACAAC